GAGAGAGAGAGAGAGAGAGAGAAACCCTGGAGACGCAGGGGAAAAAAGACGGTAGCGGGAGAAAAAAAGTTTTGGATGGGATTATGTGGAAACTACTCTCTTCTCTGCTGCTGCTCCTGTTGTTGCTGCTGCTGCCGCCGCTGCCCGAGCAAGCTCAGTGCTGCTGCTGCTGCTTTCTCTCCAGCGGTGCAGCCTTGGCGGGCTGGTGGAGGTGGTGGTGAGGAGAAGAAGAGGAGGAAGGAGGACGCCGCCGCCGCCGCGCCGGGGAGGACTTGAGCCGCGCGCGTGCCTCGCTCGGCCCGGGCTTGCGTGGAGTGTCGTCGTGCGTGTGCGTGAGGAAACTTTCCACCACCACCCCCCGGCCTGCCAAATGCTCCTCTTCGGGGTCTTCTTGCTGACATCTGCCCTGGTCAGCCAAAGACAGGGAGCTCGTGCCGAATCCAACCTCAGCAGCAAGTTCCAGCTCTCCAGCGGCAAGGAGCAAAACGGTAAGGGCGTCCTTTCCTTCTCCCTCTCTCCCTCTCTCTCTCTCTCTGAGCGCGTGGAGACGGGTTCGCGCGCCCGCGTGTTTTTTGTTGTGTCTCAAGAAAAGAGACATAAAGGCTTTCAGAGTTGTAGCGAGCACCACGCACTCTCTCTGTCTCTCTCTCTCTCTCTCTCTCTCTCTCTCTGTGTGTGTGTGTTTGTGTGTGTGTGTGTGTGTGTAGGAAGGAGGAGTCGCTGGGGCACAGGGAAACATTTGCCTTCCCCTTAGTTTCTGCAAAATGCCTCCAGGGATTAGGTTGGTGTCGTGGAGCCGCCGCTGGGTGACAACTTTTTTTTTTTTTAAAGGGTGGCTGTGTGTGTTGTTCACACTGGAAGCGAGGAGCCCGCTTCCTGCACTGGTGTTGGAGCGAGGCTGTAAAGATCGCGTTTGAAACTCGCACCCTGGGAGGGGAAAACATCTCCCTTCGCCAGAGAAGTAAGCCTTCTGGAAGACTGAAGCCAAAATGAATGAAACTTGGCAGGTCTGACTTCACGGTGTGTTTTGTCACTCCAGGAAACTTGTCGACCTCGTTAAGTGAAGCAGGATAGGTAAAAAGGCACCAATTAAGAAGCCAGAAGACAGGGAACAAATTAATTCTTTCTCCTCTCCCCTTAGTGTCTGAATCACTTGGTGTGTGTGTGTGTGTGGGGGGGAGGGAATGTGTTTCTTTTAATCATCCCCTTTCAACCCCTCTCATGTTTGCCCCCAATTTAAGCTTGGGTTCGTGGAGAATGAACTCTTATACATGCTGGAAACCAGTTAATCTGCATAGGAAGTGGGACTAGCCTTTAAGCTTTCAAGTATACCTGAAATGTTTAGGAAACTCTCAGATGCAAATTCCCCAGGGTTGAAGCTGACCAGACTTGGAGAAAGACTCCTTTCATGCAGAGAGCAGCTTTAGGGTGTGTAATTTGCTTAGCCTCTGAACTCCATATGATTTGCATTATTCAGATTTTAATGCCCTTCGCTCTTGATCTTCTATAACATAATCATTTGAAGGCATATGTAGCAAACAGAAATGTTATTTGCCACTTGAAACCACACCATGAATGGAGGCAGCCTAAATGTAAGCTATTAAACACCCTGCTTTCCAGGGGTGTATGCTAATGTAAGGGGAAAATGTCTTAGTAGTTTCCTTGTTAGCCAGAAAGACATGATTTCATCTAGGCACAAACTAGCCAAACAGGCATAAAGGAGAGGGGGAAAATCTTAAACTTGCAATAGGAAAAAATGAATATAGTATTGAATAATGTCAGTTTTGAACATGTTAGTGCAGAGCCGTGAAAAATCCCTGTGTTTTGTGGGCAGGTGGAAATAGCCTCTTTTTGCTGTATGAATTTGCAGATTGTGCATTGTACATATGGTGAATTCATATGGTTGCTGGTTTCTAATGTGATGACACATGACACATGCATACCACTGGAGCTGCTGATCAAAGAGCAGCCCTGGGATCAGTCTCCAACAAGAATGACTATAGAAGACTAGAGGAAAGTGATCAAAAGACTCTGACTCAGATCTGCATCCAAAAAAAAAAATCATGCTAATCTTTTCCCTTGGGCAAAGGAGGTACCTACCTAATATGAGATCCTTAGTGTTTTCATCCTCTACTTCCCCTTGGAATAGAGGTGACTTTTTAGGATTTCATATGATACCGATATAATAAATGAGCTGAAAGCATATCTTATGCTTCAGTCTTGCTAGCTGTCACATTTCCTCTAAAACTAGTGTTATTTCTAGGAATACCCTTGTGATTGATGTAGTTTGTGGATTGCACCTTTAGGGTAATTATAGAGATTCAAGAGTTTAGAATTTATCTTAATTTGTTATTGCAGACAAAATAATGGGGGTCTATTTATTGATTTAATTTGTAATCTGTTGTTACCCAGGGAACTTGGGAACAGAAATTTGGGAACAGCTATGCACATTGTCTTTCATATGGAGAACTACAACTTGAATGTAATCCTCCACTCAGAAGATATCTCTTATGTGGCAGTAGAATGAGGCTTTAAATATCTTACATGCTCTAAATGTGCATTGGAGTTGGAACACTGCCTGACAGTAGAACAGTAGCATACTTCGTGGTGAATGTCATTAATAGCTGAATTTCATTGTGCTCACATTGTTTGTTCTGTACCCAAGTTTCACTTTTATAATGGACCATTGGTAGTCTTCTGGTGGCATCATGAGGTCTTCATTGAACTTAATGGAAATAAAAACTTTGCAGAAGCGGAAAAACTCCTCCTCTCTTTTGTAATTATGCTATTTGTAAGTCAATTTATTTGTCTGCATTGTAGGGTACTTTGATTTATAATTTCCATCTTTGTTGGCTGTGGCAGAGTTCCTAATGTAAATGTTGAAGCAAAACCACCAGATTATTTTCTTAATACTTCCCAGTTATTTAGGGAATCTTATTAAAGCTAGTTGAACTAGTTTTAACTTGTATAATTGGAATGATTTTTGCACTCTGCTGAAGCTTAAACATGTTGCATCTGTTAGATAGGAGCAGGTTAAAACTCTTTAAATTCCCATTTCAAGTTGCTCTTCATATTGCACAGTTGTGTATAAGACATAATAACAATACTATCATGTTTTCTCTCCTTCTCTCTTCTCACTAACCTCTCTATCTAAAATAATAATTACATGCTATCAAGTTGATTCCTATTTATACTGGACCTTTATAGGGTTTTCTAGGTAAAGATTTCTCAGATGGGGTTTAACATTCCCTTTTTCTGGGGTGCTGTGAAACTGAGTAGCTTGCCCAAGACCTCACAGGCTGGCTGTTCTTCTTACAAGGCACAGTGGGAAACTGAACTCCCGACCTCTGCTCTCTGAGATGTACAGCTAGCCCAGCCTTCCATTTACTTGGAAATATATTCCATTGAATTCTGTGATATCCATCTCCAAGGAAATTTGTGTTGAATTCCAGCCTCACAATGTGATCCTACACTTGGGACTTAGTGCTAGATAATCATAGGATGAGGTAGGCAATTTTTGGCCTTCCAGTTGTTGTTAAACTGGCCATCGGCCAGAATAGGCAGTGGTGAAGGATGATGGGTACTGCAGTCCTGATTGATTCAAAGAATACTTGCTAAATTCTTTGTTCTCATCAACTGAAGTTATATCAATGTGATACATTGCCTCAGTGATGAATTTTGAACCCTAGTGGCAGTCTTTGCCATGGGGAAGCACAAGAGGAATATCACTTTTCTCTAGTCATTTTCTTCATAACTTCTGCAAACTGTCTGTGCAAGCTAAGTACACCTGTACAGAACAAAAGCATAACAATGGTTGATTGCAGAGAATGTCTGGGTCATTCTCAACTGTGCTGAAAGTCTATGCAATTATCATTTTACAAGTTATGTTACAAATGTTACTGAACAATTTTGCTTAATGTATACCTTCTCATTTACCTTCTCTTGTCAAGAGTGCAAAGAAATACCTCATCCTCTCAGGATGACACAAGTGAGGACTTGTCTGGAAGACCACAAATTATCCACTCTTGTGCAGAACACACAAAACTGTCTTATGCCAAATCATGTGTCCATCTAACTGTGTACACTGACTATAATCCTCTGGCTTTTTGTGTCTTTCACAAAAAAATGTTACTCATTTTTCGGACTGGCATTGGGTATATCTGTGTGCAAAGCATATTTTCTCCTGCTGAGCTATGGTTGTTCCCCATCAATTTCAGCCCATTTCTGCTGAAAAGTGGTCACTTTATCTTCATGTGCATTATCTTGTTATCCTTACAGGAAATCATAGAACAGAGGTCAGTGTTGTTATCTATGGCAGTTGGTGCAGGAATCAAAGCTGAGAAAGGGAAGTTCATGGAGGAGAAAATATTTGAAGTACAGATCTTTTCATCGAAAGCTTTTTTTTCCAGTCAGCATCAGATGTTGTTATAAGCCACTTCCAACTTGCCAGACCAAAAATGGTTTTCGAGGTATGTGAGATGTGCAAGGAGTGGTTTATCTCAGTGTGAATTCCCAAGGTGGAGCTGGAATTTGAACCCAGATGTCCTGAGTCCTAGTCTGACACTCCAACCCTTATACCACACTGGCTGTCAGTACTGCTATTGCAGATACCACAGTCTAATTAAACATTAGTCATTTTCAATGGCTATAGTAACTATTCTCAAAAATTAGTATTTCCTGATTAAGTTCTAAACTATCCTAATATATGTGGAAAAAGAAGATGTTGTCACTTTGTGCAGTAAAGGAAACTTGTCCAGACATTCCTATCGGTTACTGAGGTCCTGATCTGTAGGTCATCAATATTAGTCTGACAGGTACAGTGACAAGGCCTTTCTTGAACTTTCTCCTCTGTGAAATATTAGAGGGCATTCTTTGAAAACCTGTTAAAAATATTTCATTCTGATTTTTATTAATTGTTGCTGCTTTCATCTATTGTTCTTGATGTTTTAACTACTAGCATTGACTTTTTAGTTAGTGCAATATAGTTTCAGTTGGATAGTTATTTTATTATTACTATGATTTATGAATTCTTGTACTCTACCTTGGAATGCAGTTGTCCCCTAAAAGGCAGTGGCCAGAATCTTATTGTGCACTTACACTGTCATAAGTGAGTTTATATAAATTGCAGCAGTGAGTTGCCATTAATGAACAAGTTGCTTCTCATACTTCTAATAAGATACTCAACAGATAGGTTACAGGGTTCAGATAGGGCAGTGGTTACATCATGCCTTTAGGATTGGCCTAGTGAAAGGCAATTAAGCAAGCTCTCTATCACCTATGAGAAAGAGGAAGAATGGTGGTAACCTCCCTTCTCAGAAGCAGCTGTGACATCATCCAGGAGAGTTTTCTTTGCACTGAACAATCAGCCAACAGCTTAGTAACTTTGGGGAGAAGCGTTCCCCCACAAAATTTTGCTAATGGAAAGGCATTAGTTTCTCTTTTGACTATATATTTTAAAGTTCATTGATTTAAAGGAGGCCAATTCAGG